ACCAAACACCGCGTGTTCTCACTCATAGGTGGGAATTGAACAATGAGATCACTTGGACACAGGAAGGGGAACATCACACACTGGGGCCTATTGTGGGGAGGGGGGAGGGTGGAGGGATAGCATTAGGAGATATACCTAATGTAAATGATGAGTTAATGGGTGCAGCACACCAACATGGCACATGTATACGTATGTAACAAACCTACACGTTGTGCACATGTACCCTAGAACTTAAAGCATTAAAAAAAAAAAAAGTAAGACTTTGGCCAGGTGTGGTGGCCCACGCGTGTCTTCCCAGCACTTTGGGAGGCCAAAGTGAGCTGATCACTTCAGACCAGGAATTTGAGACCAGCCTGGCTAACATGGTGAAACCCCATCTCTATTAAAAATACAAAAATTAGCCAGGCATGGTGGCACATGCCTGTAGTCCCAGCTACTCAGGAGGCTGAGGCAGGATAATTGCTTGAACCTGAGAGGCAGAGGTTGCAGTGAGTGGAGATCATGCCACTGCACTCCAGCGTGGACAACAGAGCAAGACTCTGTCTCAAAAAACAAACCAACAAAAAATACGAAAATAAGCCACGGATGGTGGCATGAACCTCTAGTTTCAGCTACTTGAGAGACTGAGGCATGAGTATCACTTGAACCCGGGATGCGGAAACTGCAGTGAGCTGAGATTGCATCACTGCACTTTAGCTTGGGAGACAGAACTTTAGCCTGGGCGACAGAGTGAGACTGTCTCAAAAACAAAATAAAATAAAACAGGTGGGAACAATAGACACTGGGGAATACAAGAGCAGGGAGAGAAGGAGTGGGGCAAGGGTTGAAAAACTATGAAACCCCGTCTCTACTCAAAATACACACACACACACACACACACACACACACACACACACAAAAATTAGCCAGGCATGGTGGTGTGTGCCTGTAATCCCACCAGGCATTTGGATTAGTAGAGTGAGGCTGGGCAATAATTTAGGGTACAATCCTCTTCTAAGTATCTGATTATCCATTAGTAATACATATGCATTAAAAATAATATAAGTTCAGGTTCTGACAGCCCATTCACTTTAAACATAATGAAATTATGGAATAAATATAAAGAGAGAAAAACAAACAACAAAAAAGATAGATGGCCTTACATAGAAGATGTAATCTCTTTGGAACATAAAGGAAATATAAATGCAAAATGGCAGTCAGGTTCTAACCATCCACCTTCTCTGCTCCAGGACTGGAAGTAGGCAGTGGTGGCTGTGAGTTCACCTTTTCTACCAAAAAAGGAACTAAAAGTGTTTTATGTAAGACCAGGGCCAAAATCCAGGCTTAGAGCTTAAATCAGGAGTCATGTTGAGACTCTGCCTTCATAGACATCAACTTCTGACAAGAGCTCTCCTGAGCTGCTAGTTGAATTGCTGATGGGATCTGTGCTGTCATCAATATCACTTCTAGGAACGCTGGAACATCTTGTTTCTGGACTGAGTTTCAGGTTGGAGACAGGAATAGTTAATGGAAAAATTTCCAGACTGTGAGAAGTAAAGATAAAAGAAGAGAGAGAGGGAGTAAAGAACCAAAACCAAAATATTTCATTTACAATGAGCTAAGACCAACATTCCAAAGTATATAGATAAAATGAATGCTAAGAAAGATGTCAGGCCAGTGCAATGGCTCAGTCCTGTAACTTCAGCACTTTGGGTGGCCAAGATGGGAGGATCGTTTGAGCCCAGGAGTTCAGGATTAGCCTGGGCAACATAGCGAGACCTCGTCTCTATAAAATAAAGTTAAAAAAAAAAGATGACAAACACAATCAATAATTAGAACATAAATTTACCTCAGATAATATTGATTTCATAAAAACATTTGACAAAGTCTTTAAAATTGGTGTGTTTAAGATGCTCATAAGTAAATAAAAACATAGTATCCATAAATATATTAAATTATAAGATACAAACAAAGATCTAAAATAAAAATGGATGAGAAAAAGAAACAATTAGAAATCTTTTTTTTTGGCATGGTCTCACTCTGTCACCCAGGCTGGAGTGCAGTGGCACAATCACAGCTCACTGCTGTCTTGACATCCCTTGCTCAAGTGATCCTCCCACCTCAGCCTCCTGAGTAGCTGGGATTACTATTGTGTGCCAGCACGCCTGACTAATTTTTGTAT